AAATGGAGAAATCTTTTAGAGTGATTCAGAACACGGCTGGATTCAGTCAAACGAACATACATAACAGTATTTTATGGGTCAAGCATCATTTCCTGCAATGTTACCGAGTCCCACTTACAATCTTTGAAAGGATTTAAACAGCAGCAGCCAGAAAGACAAGAGCTGAAGCTTCTCCACAACAGAAACAGCCTCAATGTAACTATTTGTTCACAAAGATTTGTTTGGTATAGAATATATATGTAAACAGTGTACAGATGGGCAAGAGAACAAACCAGCTGTTCTCCACAGAACCAGCCAAGGTGTAGTCTCAGTTGCAGGGGAACAATATGAGAACACCACCTCCGAGGCTGGAGATGCAACACTAGAAGAGCACTTGGGGCTTAGCACCCAATCTCGGGCGGGGTGATGATATCTCCCCCCGACCTGTTGTCATGGCTCCCCCTTGTGTGTTGTGCCTCGTCAATCTCTACCCCTGAGAGCAGTCCCATCTTCCAAATGTTGGAACACTGAGCTACTAGTTGTTTTACCATCACTGTGGATGTTGGTTATGGAAGAGTCCATAGTCTCTCATCCCATTCATGTAACCCCTTCCACTGGGATTGAAGCAGTCCAACAGCACTCTACTTTAATCTCTTGCCCACTGATGCCTTCTTCTTCCCACTTCTCATCAGGGCGTCCTGGTTCCTCAACACCTGACGTGGACCTTGTTGATCCGTGTGACGTCCAAGCGAGTGTGGGTTCATATTTATCTCTCTCACTCATGTCTGCGGTAGGCTTGGTTAGCATAAGGGGGTCTAGCCTAGGACCCTTAACATGTTAATATTTTATAATGTTTATAAGCTGGACAGAAAAGCTGAAACTTAAAACACATCTGGTAAATAAATGTCAATATTCTCTGTCATCAGGGAGCAGTGATGACGTCAGAGGACCTCTTAAACACTCTGGAAGATTTGGGAGATGAAGAGTTTAATAAATTCAAGTGGTTCCTGCAGCAGGAAGAGATCCTTGAAGACCTCCCGACCATCAAAAAGAGCCGACTTCAGGCAACAAGCAGGTGGGACACTGTAGACCTGATGGTGCAGACACACAGACTTCCTGGAGCTGTTGAGGTGACCAGGAAGCTTTTAGAGAGGATCCACAGGAATGATCTGCTGGAGAGTTTCTCTGCCATCTCTGGAGCAGAAGGTCAGTCACAGGACGAGACAAACATGTTGTTTCTGCAGTCTGACCTAGTTTCACGTTCATTATCTCTGTCTGTCAGTGGCTGTCAGTGATGGTGGAGAGACATCAGCGAAAAGAGGATCTTACTCCTCTCAGACTCGGGATTCTTTTTCTCAGACCAATGAGAATAATGGTAATAATTTACTTTCCAGACATACAGTAATATGTTTGAAATAATATTAATTATTATTTTCATTGTGATGTCTCTAACTGAGCACATGATGTGCAGTGTTGGGAAGGTTACTTTTAACATGTATTCCACTACAGATTACAGATTACATGCCCCAAAATGTATTTTGTAACATATTCCATTACTTTACTCAATAACAGTAACATATTCTGAATACTTTGGATTACTTAATATATTATCATGCTGTTTACAACTACATGAATGT